ACTGCGGCATGAGCTCCCACCAGACAGTGATGATGATGACAATAACTTGTCCTTTTGAGAAGCTCTCCAATGGTTGAGTTGAACTTAAAATTAAATAGAGCATGAAATTAAGTGAAATGCAGCTTCCCATTCCTCAGTTGTACAAACCACATTCCAGGTGCTCTGTGTGCCCTCTGTCATAAGGCCACAGCACATGCAGCTCCCCTCCATGCTCCTTGCCCCCTGCCCACAAGCTGGACAGGACAGTCTCTAGTCTTCCCAGATCTATGTTCTTGGAAGCCTTTAGGCTGTGAGAGCTCCACACACAGTGACAGTGGCCCAGTCTCTGAAGTGGTGTGCCAGGCTTTAAAGACGCTGTTCTTGGGGATTTAGCAGGGCTTCAAGAGCTAGCATGTCCAGGTTGAAATCTTGTCCTTATTACTGACCAGATGGGTGTCCCCAGACCATTTGCGCACCTTGCTGTGTCTATTTATTTGATGGTGACATAAGACTGATAAGGGGACACATTCAAGAGAGCTCTTGGGAGTTCTCTAGTCCATCATCCACATAAAACAGCAGAATAACAGCTACATCTATAGAACACATAGTAAGTGTTCAATAGTTGCTCTCTCTTGTTTTAGATTCTAATCTAATTATCAAAGAATGTAAGGTGTAGAAGAGATTAAAATGGCCACCTACTCATTCTACCAGTGAGAAAACAGAGCCAGACAAAGCAAAGGACTCGCCTAAAGTCATACAGCAAGTTAATAACAAGAACCAAACAGGATCCTTTTCTGCCAGTGCTGAGCTTGGTGATCCCTCCACTGTGCCCCCCCCCCGAGAATGCTGACATCTTCAGGGAACATGTCCAGATCTTGCAAACATAAAAGCTGTTCGTTTGTTCCCCAGGAGGGAGTTGGCGTTGGCTAACCTGGCCATATGGTTTGTTCTAGCTTTCTCTGCAGGGTTGTGTGAGCAGAATGCTCAGATAGCCAGCACTAAAACTCATTTATTAGAAGATTTGTGAGTGAGTAGGTGAGCTAGTTTTTATTTTGATGTAGAATATATGGACATTTTAGAAGAACACAAAGCAGGAAGAAAACAGAAAAACCCACCATAGGAGAATGTGTTTTCTTTTTCTGATGATCTTCCTCACTGGCAAAGATTGAGCTCCATCTATTTCTATCCTTTTAGCACTACTTTTGAGTGAGGCTCTGTGCCCGGTGCACATGGCCAGCAAAACAGATACGGATGCTGCCCATGTGTTGCTTAAAATATGTTAGAGCTGTGTTGGCCAGGCTTCCTGTTGCTGTGGCAGATACATCTGAAATGAATTAAGGGAAAAAGAGATTGATTTGGGCTTATAGTTTCAGAGGTGTCAATCCATCACTGCAGGGAGCACACAGCAGAGCAGAGTCATTTACACACACACACACACACACACACACACACACACCTGAGAGCAATGGTTGCCAGGGAGCAGTGAGAGAGAGAGATATGGAGGGGAGAGGGAAAGAGGGAGGAAGAAGGAGGAGAGAGGGAGGGATGGGAAAGGGAGATAGAGAGATATGGATGGATGAATGGATGATAGATGGACGATAGATAGATGACAGATAGATAGACAGATAGATGATAGATGGATGGATAGATTATAGATGGATGATGAATGGATGGATGACAGATAGACAGATGGATGGATAGATGAAGATGATGGATGGGTGGATGGGCAGATGGACAGATGATAGATAGATGATGGATGGATAGATAGGTGATAGACAGACAGAGTGCACAGTTACTCTTATTAGCTTGCTCTTCTTTCACAGCCTATGGGATGATGTCATCCACATTCATGGTAGAGCCTGTCCCTTAGTGAATCCTCTTGAGAGGTGTGCTTTGTTTTCTTGCTTATTTGTCATTTTTAATTACATTTTTATGTATTTTGTGTGGGTGTGGTTCGGGTGATCAGATCAGAGGAAAACTTGCAGAAGTCTATCCTCTCCTGTCATGTGGGCCCCAGGTACCAAACTCAGGTTGTCAGGCTCTGAAGCAAGTGCCTTTATCCAATTAACTAATTTTCTAGATGCTTCATTATCTGGTCAACATTAGCCTTCACAGGGACAGATGCCATTGTCACTCATGGCCAAAATAACTATGTCACCCTCGTGGTTTTGTCCACAAAGAAATACCCCAGACTGCCGTGAGAGGGCATGACAGGGGAATGGATTTGAACCCCTCAGGGTCTCTGGAAGAACCTGGCCAGGGGCAAACAAGGGTGGGAGTGAAGTACAGAAATCTCACTGAATTGCAAACTGATCTTCAGCCACATGCCGTTCTATTGTAACCCTTCACCCAGCCATCAAAATCCTCCATACATAATTTATGACAAATATTTTGGATGTGCCGTGTTTTCTTAGCCAGTTCCCCAGTGGCTCCCAGAGAACACAGCTATGTTCAGTTTTGGGGAGAATGGGTGTTTGCTTTTGTTTTAGTACTATGGGAACCAAGACGGCAAGAAACTTTTATCTGTAACTCTCTGGCCCCCTACAGGCCCTGGATGACTATCATACTGACTTATCCTTACCATAAGCCTGTAATATGGTGAGACTTATTTCCAGTTTGGAAAAGGGCCACTTAAAGCTCAGAGAGAGTTGATGTCCTGTCTCAGTTACATAGAGTCTCAGCTGCAGCAAGGACTCTCCAACCACTAGTTCAGGTATGGACTCTGATCTCCATGGCTAGGCACATCCGGAAGTTCTCTTCCCCTCTGTTCTCTTCCCCTCTCTTCCCTTTCCCTCAGCCCTTGCACAACTCAGGCAAGGTAGCGCTCTGGCTCTGGCTCTGAGCTTCACCCCAGCCCTCAAGGCCACATCTGCAGGCTACAAGCCCAGAAGCATGGGTGCGGCTTCTGCTGCTGCTGCTGCTGCTGTTGTATGAACTTGGAAACACTTTCCAGTGTTTCTAACTGTGTCGCCAGCAGTGACACATGCCACACTTCCTACGAGGTTTTCTGTAGATTCAATCTCCTTATTTCCAAGCCATCCCTTCCCACCCTCCCCCTGCCTTCTCCCCCACACAAAAGCCTTCGTCCACTATGTTTTCACCTTTATCGTGTTCCTATGCTTTTCTGGGCATCTCAGGTCGAGCCTAGTGGCCATGGGCACCCTGGACTGTAGGTGGCACCTAACCGACACATTCTACTTACCGAACTTGTTCCAATGCTGGGATGGCCTATGGAGTCTCAGCTTTTAGTGTCCAGGCTCCTCACCACTGCCCCTCCAACACCACCACAGGAGCCCATGGTCCTCAATGACACAGGGTAAATCAGAGTCCTAGTTCCTCAGACTCCTCTGTGGGGTTTGTTGTTCTGAGACTGAGTCTCACTATGTAGCCAAGGACAACTGAACTTCTAATCCCCCTGCCTCCACCTCTGAGGCTCTGGGAATACAGACACGTACCACTCCTGGGTTCCTCTGCAGCTTTGGTTTGATTTTGTTACTTTTGGAGACAGGGCCTTGCTACATAGACTGGGCTGACTTGGAATTCTGTCTTCCCTTCTCAGCCCCACTGGGTGCTGGGGTCATGGACTTGTGCTGCTCCTGGCTTCCTTTGTCCTTTTATCCTTCCCATTGGTAGCACCTTCCCCTGGAGCCTTCACAGCAGCTCTGCCTGTCCCACCTGGGCATCTGCTTGGGACTGCAAAAGCAGCCTTGTTGCTGCCTGGGGTTGCACTCCCATTTTCTCCTCTTCATCTCTTCCCCTTCTTGGTCCATTGCTTCCTAGCCTGCAAAGCACAGTTCAAGGTCATGTTTGGGGAAACGAAGGACCATTTAAGGTGGCCAGTAAACTCAGCATACAACAGTGAATCATTTAGTAGCCAAGGATGACCTTAAACTTCTGATCCTCTTGCCACCACCTCCCAAGGGCTGGGGTTATACACACATGTCACTGTGCCAGATATGTAGTGCAGAAGACTAACTGAGCCACACCCCCAGCCTCAGCGTTTTCCTTATTCTTATTACCTTTGTGATACCATTCATGTGAGCAGTGTGAAGGCTGCTTCTTTGTGTTTCAGTGTTTTCTCACTCATATGCACACCTTTTACACACATGACTACCTTATTAAACTAAAGTACAGCTGTTGAACAAAACTTTTCCCTTCATTGTTTCTTCTCTGTGTCTTTTTTCCCCACTTAATAAAGCATGAAAATCCCTCCGATCAACATGGCTCTGTTTCTCTTTCCTTCCTTCTTCTCCTTTCCTGCCCCCAGAATGTGCGAGGCGACCAGGCTGGCCTCAAATAGAAATCCACCTGCCTCCCCTCCAGGGTGCTTTGGATTAAGAGCATGTGCCACTATTCTAATTCTCTTTCTTTTAAAGGGCTACAAATGATACCAAACTATGAGCAGACCAGATTTTACAAGCAGTTCTTCCATGGGCAGGCATTTCCACTCCATTGTTAGCTTTGCACAGTTCCATAAAAAAAAAGCACTGAACGTTGTTTTCCTTTCAAAAAATTATACCCACCAGACGGTGGTGGCGCACGCCTTTAATCCCAGCACTTGGGAGGCAGAGGCAGGCAGATCTCTTTGAGTTCAAGACTAGCCTGTTCTACAAGAGCTAGTTCCAGGACAGTCTCCAAAGATACATGGAGAAACCCTGTCACGAAAAACCAAAGAAAAAGATTGTACCCATTTGTTTGTGTGTGTTCATGCCGCGGCATGAGAGTGAGGTCAGAGTCAAGCAAACTTGGTTCTCTCCTTCCACCACATGAATCCTGAGGGCCGACTTGACAGAAAGTCCTTTACCTGCTGAGCTCTCTCTTCTATTCAGCATTGCATCTTTTTAGGTCCATATATATGTGTATGGCATTGGTGTTTTGCCTGCACGTGTGTCTGTGTTAGCTGCCACATGGGTGTTGGGAATTGAATGAGTCTTCTGGACTCTTAACCACTGAGCCATCTCTCTAGCCCCAGGTCCAGACTTCTTAATTGTACAAAGTAAATTCACGGAAAAAGGCAAAAGTTTCCTTTCATAAGTTTTACTGCAGAAAAGAAAAAGTGACCCAATTTGAAACGGGATCCGTGGAGCCAGGCCAAGCGTTGGTAACAAGGAGGAACCCTTTGTCATGCCCTGGGGTCTCTGTGAACAGAGGCCATGGTGGAAGGCAGGCTTGAGGTAGCATCTCCTCTAGTTCCTACGGCAAGAAAGTCAAGATCACAAAGAGCCAGGTCTTTTCTTGCAACCAAGGATGGAATAACACAAAGCCCACAGCATTCAAGTGCAGCCAATTTCAATAAACTAGTGACAGTTTTCCTGGAAGCAGGCAGTTTCCAGTTTGTACTTCTGTTCAGTCAGTCAATCAAAGAGCACTGTGTTGAGCACCCTGGAGGACCCACCTGGGATCTGTGCTCCCTGTCTTTCTGGTCTAGGAGAAATAACATGCACCTTTATGCACAAGACAGCAGTTGTCCACACTAAGAGAGAGATGAAACCCAGCCTGCCCCAAACATGGTTTCTCCCTCCCTCCCTCCCTCCCTCCCGCCCTCCCTCCCTTCTTCCCTTCCATTCTCTCTCTCTCACACGCACACACACACACACACACACACACACACACACACACAAACATGCTCCCACACAGCCTCCAGCCACCATGCCTACCCTCCCTTCCTTTCCTTCCACCTGCATGTGCAGAAATATTATAAGCCACACTGGAGCTCTGGGCTCGTTGCTGTGGGAACCAGAATTCTGCAAAATTCTACAGTCTTCACTCATGCACATCTGAATTCTTGCTCTGTGGAGTTTGTGCTTTGAATTCTGAGTCATTTCCCCTCATAGGTCAGGCTGGGATGCAAAGGAGGGAGCTGGTGAAGACTGGCAATTAAAGACCTGATGACTTTCTGTCAGGCTGATGCAGGGGCCTAGCTAGGTATGAGTGAGTCTCAAAGGGTGTTTGCTGCCCCCAGGACTTCCCTGAGCCCTAGACAAGAGAGTGAGTAGGGAGACCCAGAGAGAGACAGTTGAGAGGTTTATACTTTGAGAGAAGCAATGGCATCCAGATAAGGTGCAGCCTGCTGGAGGGACGTCACAGGGAGGGGACCAACGGAACAAGCACCATGTCTGCTCTCTCCCCCCCCTCAGCTCTTTGTAGCTCCCCATAGCCTGGATCCAACAGAACCCCAAACCTAGGCAGATGCTGAGGTTAGCCTCTTGGGACCGAGCGGACAGCAGTGGCGCTGAAGGGACAAAAGTACCCTATCTGACACCAGCAATGGATTTTTACCACTGGCATTTCCCTTTCTGATCTGTAAAATGAGATTGCTAACAGCACCATGCTGTTGAGAGTAAACAGATTAAGATATGCAAAGCCCTGGAACATCCTTAGGGGAAGTCAGTGTATCTTTCTGAAAGCACTTTGTTGCTCAGTGGTTCCCACCCAGTGAGAGTTTTCTCAGCCTGAAGGGAGAAAAGGGACCCGAGGCTGAGGCTCCTTTCATTAGGGCGTCTCTGCGGCCCCCAGGCTAGAGTTCCCTTACCCACCCTGGTTGCTGGTTCATTTCAGGCCTCCCATCTTCATCCCCCTCTGACCAGCGCAGAAATGGCAGCACCACAAATGTGCCCTTGGACCCAGGTAAGCCAACCATTTCCCCAGGCCCTGCAGCCAACTTTCTGAGATCCAGGAGACTGTGTCTGAGCTAAGAAAGGACAGTGGACTTTCTGGTACCAAAGAAGCCCTCTGACTCCAGAGACCATCTCTTCCTTCTGGCCTGGGGACCAAGGTCCCATTAGGCTCTCCTTGCGGTCTGAGAACGCCTGTATTTGAGAGTCTCATGTATACCACAAGCCACTTGAGGGATCTGTGCAGAGCAAGCCAGGGTGTGTGGTGGGGTGATGAGCACTGTCAGCCCGTCTTCCGTTTTCTCTGCATGTGTTTATTGAGACCCTACTCTGTGCAGAGCTGTGAGCGAGCAGTGGGGTGCAGTCTGGGGAGCAGAAACAGACAGACCGCTCCTATAGGAAGCTCCCTGGGATCTAAGGAAGGGTCCTATAGGAAGGTCACCTACCCACTGCAGCAGCAGGTCTTGTCACTGTCGTGTCCTCTAGGATAGTACCTTCAGTGCATCCCAGAGACCAGGGAAGGGACTCTTGGTCCAACAAGGCCCCTGAGCCCAAATCCTGTTTTTGTTTGTTTTTTGTTTTTCTGTAACAAAAGGGTGCCACTGGAGACAGGGGACCAGAGAGGAGATTGTGGGGTCCATCCCCTGATTCTCACACTAGATCTAACCTACCCTAAATCTCCAGATTGGTTCCTGAGCCTCACCTTTTCTCTAATTTGAATACTAGGGTCAGGCCTTGAAGCGCTCCTCTCTTTCCATAAGGCTGCCCAGCTGCATCCTACCGGCAGGAAGGCCTGAGGCCTAGTGCCGAGGGGTGTTGCCCAGGGCCATGAAACAGGGAGCAAGTGGATCCCCAGGCTGTCCGCCTCACCCCCATCTAGGGGAACAAAGATCTGATGAGGTCTCAACTCAAATTTGACCCTTCCAGAGGAGCAGCTGGGGGTCCGTCTGGTGAACGGGAGCAGTCGCTGCAGCGGGTCCGTGGAGGTTCTACTGGGGGCATCCTGGGAGCCTGCGCACGTGGTACACCAGGACAGACTCACCACCGAGGCTGTGTGCGAAGCGCTGGGCTGTGGCGCTTTGGAGAAGGCTACCTACCTGATGCCACCCACCTCGGAGTTGCCACCCAGGGCCACCTCTGGGAACACCAGCAGCGCTGGGAATACGACATGGGCGCGGGCACCAACCGTGCGATGCAGCGGAGCCCATTGGAAGTTCTGCAAGATGGAGAACCATGAGTACATCAGCGACAGGAGGCTGGTGTGGGTCACCTGTGCAGGTATGTGTGCCTACCCCCTCCCTACCCCACACCTCAGGCTTCAACCACTGCAGCCAAACTTTGGTCTCCAGACTTCTACCACCAGCCTCCCAAGTCGTGCAGACTCAGGTGGTTCCACATTGATGGCTCACTCAATGTGTCATTTCCAGATCTGCGCATCGCCTCAGATGTGGCCTGCAGACTAGCCCAGATAGATCTCCAGAGCATCCACTTGGTCCCCTTTGGTCCCCCCTCCTAACCCAATCTGTGTTTATTTCCTCCAAGTAGATAAATTTGCCATGTTCCCAGGCTGCCTTTGCTCTGAGGTTTGGTGTCTGAGACCAAAGTTCAAGGGCTTGCCTACCTGGTCTCTAGTCCCGCCTCCTGTCCTTCCCCTCCCACATTATCTCTAAACCACGCCCACTGGGTTCTCAGTTATGCAGGGGCTCCCAATCCTCCCTCCAGGTTGCAGACACTCGCCTCCACTCTTCCTGCCCCACCCCCAACATCCAAAACCCTCCCAATCACAGAGAACCAGGCCGTGCGATTAGTGGATGGTGGCAGCCGCTGCGCTGGCCGCGTGGAGATGCTGGAACATGGCGAATGGGGAACAGTGTGCGATGACACGTGGGACCTGGAGGACGCGCACGTGGTGTGTAAGCAACTGAGGTGTGGCTGGGCAGTGCAGGCGCTGGCAGGCTTGCACTTCACCCCAGGCCAAGGACCCATCCACCGAGATCAAGTGAACTGCTCCGGGACCGAGACGTATCTGTGGGACTGTACCGGGCTGCCTGGAGACCGGTACTGTGGTCACAAGGAGGACGCAGGAGTGGTGTGCTCAGGTCAGTCAGTGAGCCTGAAGGAGGTGACATATTTGGAATGGGACAGCCTTAGTAGGAGCGGGACTAAGGCAGGGAGTGTCCTATTTAACTCCCCACCCCATCACTGTTGAGCTATTAGAAACCAGGGGTTCTGGTCCCGCCTGTGCTACTTGTTTATATCCACAGCAATGGCATTAGTAAAGCGGTCAGTGGCAAGCCCCAGACGCAGCTGCTTCTGCCTGTCCACTTGGAGCAGCCAGGATGTAGAGTCCCACCAGAGGGCTGGCCAGAGCAGGTGGGGTGGGCAGAGGGGTTACAGGTGCAGAGGAAAAACACATGGGTCTGTGTGGGCCCATCTCTGCACTGGGGTTCTAAGTCGGCAGGGGTCTGGGCTCAGAACATTCTAGCCTGACTCTATCGCTTTCTTGCAGAGCACCAGTCCTGGCGCCTGACCGGAGGCGTTGACTCCTGCGAAGGGCAGGTGGAGGTGCACTACCAAGGGGTCTGGAGCACCGTGTGCGACAGCGTGTGGTACACGTCTGAGGCCAAAGTGCTCTGTCGGTCCTTGGGCTGCGGGTCAGAGGTGGATCGGCCCAGGGGGCTGCCACACTCTCTAGCGGGTAGAATGTACTACTCCTGTGAGGGAGACGAACTCGCCCTCAGCAAGTGTTCCTGGCGGTTCAACAACTCTAACTTGTGCAGCCAGTCGCTGGCAGCCAGAGTCATCTGCTCAGGTATTCCTTCCTTCCCTAGCCCCTCCACCACTAGATTTGGTCCACAAAATTTGCCTTTGTCTCTGCTTACAGATGGCTTAGCAACTGGCAGGGACTGGCCCAAGAAAAATCATTATGCATACCATGCTCAGGCAGACATTGCTAATGGATCAGAATGGTTTTTGGTTTTTGTTCCTGCAAGATGCTCAACTCAGACCCAAATTCATGCATTAAGTATTTATCAAGAAGGTCATTATCATGTGCTAAGTAATTGGTCCCTGTTGACTGGAACGATTGGGTAGGTGAAGCCAGTTTGCTATCCCAAAGGTGATGATTTTGGAAAAGTCAGCTTAGGAAACACGAATGGTAATGACATGTGCCACGGCGTCTGGAGCTATAGTCACATGCCACGTACCGCCACGCCAAGCTCTAGGTAGCTTAACTCAGTTCAGTCTTACACCCACTGTAGGAGGTGACTTCTACTGCACTTCACCAACTCTAAGACCACAGTGGCAAGTCACAGCGTTGGTGTCTTAGGGACCATAACGGCAAATAAACATAAGCAGGAGGTGTAGCTCAGTGGTTAGACCACTCGACTACCACTTACCTAGTGTGCATGATGCCTGGATTCAAACCTGGATTCAAACCTCAGCACCGCAAGGAGGGACGGGAGGGAGGAAGAGAGGAAATGAGGGAGAGGAAAGAAACACCAAAAGTCCTGGTGTGGCTGGTGTGGTGAAATACACTACAAATAAATATTGTTCAAATCCTCGACATGCTGTCCCACACAGTGAGGCCACTATTCCAATTACAGAGGCATTATAGTATGAAAGTGAGGTCCCCAGCTGCAGGAACACAGTGTTAGCCTCCCTGTGGGGTTCAGAGTTCTGACTTTAAGTTCCAGCTTTGCTGTTTAGCAGCCAGGAGGACTGGGGCAGTTCCTCAACTTCTGTGGGTTCAGAATAAAGGATGCTCCTCCAGGTAGCTGGAGACTGGGTTGCTATGGCTACCGGGCTGTGTGAGCTGCACAAGTTAGGAAGCAGATCCCTTGTGTTGGTTTTCATGAGGACATAGCTCTCTTTCTCCTGAGGTCCCGAAGAGCAAACTGAAGTTGAGTGGGGAAAGGATTCAGCGTCTGCAGCAGCTTACACAGGGAGAAGGAAAGTCCTATCCGTCCACATTCTAACTGAAGCATCTTCCCAGCCAGCTCCGCAGGGATTCTCTCACTGCTAGGAGCTCGGTTTCTATACCCTTATGCCCACATGGTTCCAGGGTGCTTGTCTGTCTTGTACAGTTTCTAGAACAAGGCTTGGCACACAGCATGTGCTCAGGAAACTCACCAAGGAAATGGGTGGTACTTTCTGACAGGCTCCCGAAGACATCACAACCTGTCCACTTCTGCAGTGCCTTCTCAAGTGCCGGGCGCCATAGGTGAGTGTGGCTTCTCCCAGCGATGCAGGTGCCTGCGTATGCATCTGTGATCATACACTCATGGGTGTCTGCCTGGGGATATCTGGTGGCTTGTTTCCAGAGCTGCCAATCCCATCAATAAACTCATCTCTCGGGGGCATCCTGCTGTACAGGACTACAGCCATATAGCACCTATGTGAGCAACTCTCTCTCTCTCTCTCTCTCTCTCTCTCTCTCTCTCTCTCTCTCTCTCTCTCTCTCTCTCTCTCTCTCTCCCTCCCTCTCCCTCCTTGTGATCCAGAGAGGTCCTAAGTCCTTTGGAGTCATTTGGGTACAGCATTCCTGGCCTGGCTAGGTGGTGGAGTACCAAGAGGACCAGTGAGTGTGCAAGGTTTAGGGCACGTGATCTAGCTCCCTCCTGCATTATCTCCCAGGCTTTTCTGACCCCCACCCCAAATCAACTGAGGGAAGCCTCTCTAAAACCTGAGGCACAAGCTGAGGTTCAGAGTCAGGGTTGCAGGAGCCCTGCTGGCCAGCACTTGAAACTTCAGCTCTTTCCAGACCTGTGCCAGGTCTGACCACTAGCTCTGTAGCTTGGCCAACACCGGGGCTGGCTCCTGGGGCTCATGTCCATGTTGTGTTTGATAGCTCTGTAGCATCACATCTCCGACCCTCAGGTTCCTTGAGTTTGGGGTGGCGATCAAGACTTCTTTCTAGGGATCTGCTGTGAAGTTATTTCGTGAAATCGACTTCTAACACTTAGAATGGGTCTGTGCGTAAGAGCCACATGGAAGTCCAGCACTGGCTGGGTTCCCTTCCCCACTGCCTGCATCACTTGCATCCTGCCTCAGACACTCAAGATGGGGACCTGGAGGAGAGACTGAAGGACTAGAGTCCTGCCAGAGGTCCTGGCTGTGTATAAAGAGCAGAGACAGGAGTGAGATGCTAGGAGCTGCCCAGGCTATGGAATGAGGCTGGCAGGATTTGCAAGTCCCTTGTCCCCTCTCGAAGTCAGGGTGGACAGTCACACCGACTCCAAAATGCAAAGGGAGACTAGGCCTCTTGGAGCCAGGTGGGGGTCCTTTGTCAACCTTTCCCTAGGATTTATAACCCAGAGCCCCCACATCTCGCCTTTCCCTCATACTGCTTCTGGGTACCAAATCTACTTTCCCTTCCTAGCCCAAACCATCCTGTCAGCAGCCAGAAAGGAGAGGGGGGAACATGAGGACTGGCCAGTGTTGTGTTTACTCTGAGGACACAGACACAGCCAAAGCATGTTTCCCAACTTGTACCTCTGCACTTGGTGGAACCTCCAAGACTGTGATAGTGTCACATGTTGCAACCCTAGAATATAATGCCTGACACACAATAGTACTAATTGATTGTCTACTGAACAAAGACTAAGTGCTGAAGGCCAGCAGGGCAGGGGGGAGGGAGCCAGAGGAAAATTTCAGGCACTAAATGCATTTAGTCAATTGCTCATTTAATATGCACTCACAGAGCACTTACCATATATGAGGAGCTTAAAAGCCGTGGAAACGTTTGAATAGAAGAAGGAAGGGAGAAAATGGTGAAAATGAAAGGGGGGATCCTTCGTCAAGGTGGAAAGGCAACAACGAACCCACATCCCTTCCTTTTCCTGCCTGAATTGGGGTTCTTGTTTCCAGAATCTTCTGTGCCATCGAGTGTGAAGGACAGGGAGTCTCGAGAGTTGGCGCTCTTCATTTCCTGTATTGTCCTGGGAAGTCTCCTTCTTGTCTCCCTCATCTTCATAGCAGTTCTGCTCTTGAAAGCTAAAGGACAATACGGTAGGTGTGACATACCCACAGATAGGAAACTGCAGTTGATGCATAGGCGTCCCCCAGTACGTGAGGTATGGAAGAGCCCCAGAGGGGGTGGTTGTGCGAGGACCACACAGTGCAGGCCTGGGGAAACCTCAATGGTGGGGAGGATTTTCCCAGCATGCCCAGTAGTGGAGCCCACTAGTAGAGGTTTCTCAGGAGAAGCAGACTCAGTGTTTGTGTCGGGTGTGGAGAGAAGGAGATGTGTCCTTGAACCTGGAACCTGAAAGTCTGGGAGACAAAAGTAAAATCGATGCATAGGCTGTCTGTCTCCCTTCCCTTAGCCCTCCCTGTTTCAGAGAACCACCAGCACCTGCCCTCTGCCATCCAAGCAGGAGTCAATAACTATCATGCTGTCCCCATCACCATTCCCAAAGAAGGTAGGATGTCACCCGTGGGGACACGCAGTGGGAGGATGGGAAGGTAGACTCTGGAGGGTCACCGATGCTGGAGTCAAAGTGGCACCGACAGGAGAGGAGCTTGGACCAGACTATACACAGGCTGTGTTGCCTCGAGCAGTTCAGTCTCTCTGGCTTAGCAGACAAATGACTTTTTGGTTCGTCCTTCCACCAACCCTGTGCTTTTGAGTTCTGAGCAAATACAAGAGAAGCATTTGGGGTGTTGGTTCTCAGAGGAATTGTTAGCTCTGCTCAATAGCTAGTAATTTGTGATGTCAAGATGCTTCCCAACCAGATGTCCCACAGAGCCTACCACCATCCTCCCAGAACATGGCTACATGGGTTGGGTTCATCCCCAGCATCACACAACCTAGCCATGATGATGCACTCCCGTAACGCCAGCACATGGAGGTAGAGGCCAGAGGATGAGCAGTTCAGGGCCATCCTGGCTATATATTGAGTTTGAGGGTAACATGGCTTACATGAGACCTTATCTTTAAAAAAGAAAGAAAAATTCTTTTGGAACTTAATTTTTTCCATATTCTCTGAGTTAAAAAAAAAAAAAAAGAATGGGAGACAGCTCAGTTGGTTAAAGTGCTTGCCTTGCAAACATGAAGACCTAAATTCAGACCCCAGTATCCATACAAAAAGTTGAGCATGGTGGTCGGGGCTGCAATCTCAGTGCTGCAGGGGCTGAGACAGGCAGACCCCTGGGGCTTGCTGGCCAGCCAGTCTAAACTATTCAGCAAGCTCCGGGTCTTAGTAAGAGAACCTGTCAAAATGTGGTGCAGGGTGTGGTGGCCAGTGGCACGTGTCTTTAATCCTACGTCTCCAGAAGCAGAGGCAGGCAGCTATCTATGAGTTCAAGGCTAGCCCTATTGACATAGAGAGGTTCAGGCCAGACAGGGATACATACTGAGGCCCTTATCTAAAACAAACAAATAAAAATGAAGCGTCTATCTCTTGTGGCTGGCTACACACACACACACACACACACACACACACACACACACACACCAGTCACACATCCTTTAGGACATGATTTACCTCCAAAGAGTTTGAGTTTAATCTCATTGCCTTGTGAAAAAAAAATGGGTCACCTGCTACTCTGTCCCCTGTCCCTGCTACTGGACTCTCAACCTCTCCCCTTAAGTGTTCTGCCCACCTCGAGGCTGGGCCCTGCCCCCATCCTCTGTTCTCTCCCCAGCTCCCATGCTGTTCATCCAGCCCCAGGTCGCTGAGGTCTCGGACTCCAGTTCCGACTCCGACTATGAACATTATGACTTCAGCTCCCAGCCGCCTGTGGCCCTGACCACCTTCTACAGTGAGTGCTGGGCTGGCTCCAGGGGCTTGGGACCTGCAGGAGGGCACCTGCTAATGGCCACAGGGCTTTCACAGAACTTTCTTGTTGCTCCCCTGTACTGAAGCTTTCAAAGTGCCCTGTGGCCCTGGAGCTCTGTCTGTGCACAGGAGTGTCTCCTGCGCTATCTCTGGCTGGGTATCACCTTAGCAACATCCCCAGGCCCTGCACATGCATCTAAGGATGCTGAGACTGTGCAAACCCTGAGGGTTCAGGTGAGACACAATTCAGGCAAATTCTTACACGCCCATCACCCCCAAACCATGCCTTACTCTGGCCTGCCCAGCCCCTCCACTGCCATAACCAGCTCACACCCTAGGCAGCTTGTCTAGCTCACCCACCGCCTGCTGAGGACAGGACCAGGGAAGACAGCACTTGCAGAGGGGCCCACACCTCTGTGGATCTATTTGGAGCATGTCAAAAAATCCTTGAGCCCCACTTATACCTACTGTACAATCAAGTTAGTACCAGATTTACTCTCGTGTGACAGAAACCATCCAAATATCAGAGTCCTGAAAGCTGGGGGAGCCCCCGATCCCTTTGATGCTGCTGTGAAGTCCCTAGGGTTTTGCTTTTATCTACATGGTGCAGGAGGCATCATTGTCATAGCCACACAGCAGGACAGCAAGGGCATCCTTTACTCCCATCCCCCCACTCAGAGCACAAGCCTGCTAGCTATAAGAGGGGCAGAGCAGGAAGCCTCCACCAAGGTAGCTGAGGGTTATGCAGGGGAAGGTGGGCACTGGGCAGTGGCAGCTATCCCAACTGCCCTGCCGACTTGGGGGCTCTGGGGGGATCCCAGAGGAGGATCCATGGGTGATGTTTGGTAGTGGGACATCTGAGCCCCGGTGTGTAGGGTGTGATGTTGTGTTCCAAATGCTATGATGTTGGAACTCAAAGTCATTGCTAGGCTTCAGAGAGTTGGCCCACATTCTTAAGCTGCATCCCGAGCTTAAAGCTGAGCAGGGCACAATGATTCTGGGCCATGTAGATTCTCTTCCACCCCAGGAAGTGCCTCCCAGGGCAGATACAAGTCCATTTCTGGACCAGCCAGGGCACGAGGGATTTGGTAACATCCTTATGAGGAACAGCCAGGGCATGCAGGCAAGCCCAGAGTTGGTAATATCCTTATGAGGAGCATCTATGGCACAGGGCAGGGATGGGGGAGACCAGGTTTCTAGCCAGGAGCCTCCTGTCTCCACACTAGTCCACGACAGACCTGAGACACCCTAGATTAAATGGAGCCCTGTCCCAGTCAGGGTTGTCCTCCTCCAGGCTTTGGGCAGGAGACGGAGGCTGTATCTCCACCTACCCTGTTTCCTGCAGATTCCCAGAGGCATCGGGTCACAGAGGAGGAGGCCCAGCAGAACAGGTTTCGGATGCCACCCTTGGAGGAAGGTGAGTCCACAGTGAATGGGTCTTGGAGAAGATAAGCAGGGTGCCAACCTTGCCTCCAAACTCAGTAGCTCAACTCACCTTAGGACACTAGAAGAAACGTCTCTCAACTGGTGTCTCTGGCCTAAACATTCCAATAAGCAGTAAGTTCTGTTGGAAGTCTAATTTAAAGCCCATCTTGCTTCCTTCTTTCTCTTTTCCTGGCCCAGGTCTTGAAGAATTGCATGTTTCACACATCCCAGCTGCTGACCCCAGGCCCTGTGTGGCGGGTGTCCCCTCTCTGGGCTCTCAGTACCACATGAGGAGCAACAGTGGGTCCAGCACCTCCTCCGGGGAGGGTTACTGCAACAGTCCCAGCAGCAAGCCACCCCCATGGAACTCTCAGGTGTTTTCTTCCGAGAGGAGCCCCCCCGGAGAGCAACCCCCCAACTTGGAACTGGCTGGCTCTCAGGCAATGTTTTCAGGTAGTTGTGTGTCCTCCCAAGCTCCCAGTCCTATGTCCAACCTACCCAGAGGAGGCATAGAGCCTAAACTTTGAGCACCTAGCTGACTGTGTGACCTTGGACAAGTGTCCTCCTCTCTCTGGGCCTTCCTTTCCTCATTTGCCTAGCTCCAGACTTAGGTCTCCTGATTCCTCAGGCTGGCTCCTGGCAGAGAGTAACTGTCTCGGGTCTTTAGCAGGGACAGCAGACGGTGACAGTTCCAGCACCTCATCTGGAGAGTGGTACCAGAACCTCCAGGCACCACCCCTACACCCTCCAGTGGAGCAGTTTGAATGTCCAGGTAGCTGGGACAGAGGCTGGGTGGGGGTGGGGCTGGGGGATGTGAACAAGACGAAGAAATATTCAGAGGTTTCTGTCAGAGGAAGTGAGCTCACTATCAACGGAGGCATTCAAGCAGAAGCTGCCGGTTGGCCATGTAGGGGAAGTGTCGGTAGTGGTAAGGCTGCTGGTATGTACTCATCCTCCATGCACCAGCCTGGACCTCAGCTCTGGATTAGACGAGGTTGGCTGGAGGCAGCAGTAAACAGCAGCATAAGATGGTTTCAGATGGTGACACCCGCGCTGAGGTAGGGGGTGGACTGCTCACTGTCTCACAGCACGGTGGCAGGGATAGTGACTGTGCCTCCTGCCGACCTGATCCTTCTGGCCCCACAGGATCCCCTGACCCCCAACCAGACTCCACTGATGAAGAGGAGGACTATGATGACATTGGAGCAGCCTAGCCTGGGTGCCTAAGGCTTATGGGTGGCCCCTCCCTGAACTCTCCTGCTCTACCACCCATCAACTTCCAACAGGCTGAGGCCCCCCAGCTGAGTGTAGAAGGGCATCCTCCCAGACCCTCAGCCTCCACCCATCCATGGACCTGCAGGAGCCTGGAGCAGAAGGAGTGACCAACCGTGTGAGCACTGAGTCCTGGGGCGAGCAAGCAGGGTCTGACCACTTCTTGCAGTGGCACTTCCGGCAGGGCCATGCTAGGGAACTCTGAGGCCTCAGCTCACTCTGCCATGTCAGGTACTCTGATCCTATGTCTCGAGAAGCTACGGAGGGACTGAGCAGCTCACCCACTGCTGCAAAATAGGTCCTGGGTCAGGGGCTGCCATTATCACTTGGGAAGTCAGTACTGTCTGAATGCAATCAGAGAAACACTCACTGAGCATGGGACATGGCCTTCCTGGGCACTGTCAGCTGAGAGTAACCAAGACAAACACTCACTTAAGGCTGAAGCCAGTCCTGCCAACCAGAGGTCTCTGAGCCCACCACAGGCACTGGCTGGACCTCTATCTCTATCCCTGGACAACTAAACATTATTCTGTGCTCCTTGGGGCTTATAGAGGGTCCCTGGCCAGCCACAGAGTCAAGGGACAGGCAGCTCAGTTGGGGCAAGAGTGAAGGGGTCTACCTGAAGGGTTAGAGGCCGCCAGAAGCTCTGAGTCCCCACAGATCCCCTTGGACTGACAAGAGTGCTTTGGGTGAAAGTAGCTATTGCACCCCGGACTTTAAAGAAAACCTTCCCACAGCCTCAGAAAACTGGAGGGTTCCAGACAAGCTATTGTGGCGTGCCCTGAGTTCCTGAGTTCCTGAGATTAAATGATTGCTGAGTGAAAACGAGGTGTGTTGTGACAATTCCTTAAACTCAGTGCTCAGTGCTGTGTGTGCATGTGTGTGCATGTGTGTGCATGTGTCTGCGTGTGCGTGTGTGTGTGTGTGTGTGTGTGTGTGTGTGGCAGCAGACACTTCCTCAAGGGCAGAGGAGCTCAAGTCCTTTCATTGGCTTCTGGAGGCTCCAGTAAGAATTAAGGAAGAAGGTGACACCATGCACAAAGTACTCTTTGCCTCCGGCCACCCAGGTTCAGTCATGAGGGATATCTGGACACACACCTTAAGGTTGTTCCCTGAGGGATGAGAGACGGGTATCCTGTAGTTGGTTGAGGACTTGAGCCACCTTAGGAGGTAAGCCTGGTGCTCCAGCACTCCATAAAATACTCTCAAAGGAGAGGTGGCCCAAGAGCAGTCACCTTCCCCTGACACTGTTGGTAGGAGACCAGTTTGAATGCACTGTGCCGGGGCTCCAAGCTAGCTGGGCAAAGAGGAGGCAGCTTTGATCCATTTGGGCAGAAATGTCAGGGCTGCCATCCACTGTGGCCTGTATACTGGCAAATGCAGGGAAAGGAGAGCCGGGTCTGCTCCATGCAAAGGATGGAAGGCAGGCGGGAGCTGCCCTGCTGTTCCCAGGCCCGTGCATGGGCCAGGCTGGCTCTGCCAGAGGAGCCGGCTGTTCCTGTCCCCTGGCTGTCTGCACCCCACCTCCAGCAGCCCAGTGGCCTCCCCATGCAGAATAGATGTTGTGGTCCATGCTGCTTGGCTACTGTGACTTTAGCCTTGCTGAAGCATTGCTCAATGCCGCCTGCGGACTGTGGGTCCAGCCTCCCTCTGGGGGCTAGGGTGATTGATGGGCCCACTTTTCGTTCCTGTTCCTGCCATACCAGCCACAGGCGCTCCCTGGGCAACCGTCCCAGGATGTGGTCGCCTGTATTGAGGTACCTCCCAGAGAAGTCTCCCGACCACTGAGGGGGATTTCTAGGGGAGAAGCCGCAGCTGCGGGGTGGGACGCTCTCCTGGCCTGAACTACTGGGAAAGCTTTTTGCTCCACAGTCTGGGTTCTACTCCCGGTGTCATGCCATCCGTAAATCCTGTGCCGCCTCCCTCAGGTCAGCTGCTAACCCTCTCTGGTCCTCTGCTAGATGTTTCAACATGTACAGAAAATCAGGCCCTGTGGGCCCTGGGTGGACAGAGAGGAATGGAACCTGGCCCTCACCCTTGAGGACTTCACGGTCTGGGTTGTAGATGGTGATGGCAAACTTGACAAATAATGAAGGTGAGCAGCATTTGCTAGGTGGGTGTGGTTTTATCATCCTGATAAGGGACTCCAGGAAAGGATGGTCTGCACCACTTACAAAGAATTCGAGGCCAGAGAGGCTGAGCGGTTAGCCAGAAGCCACATAGCTTGACATGTAGCACAACTTTTCCTCCTAATGCAAAAGGCCCAACATAGAGCCACTTGCTTACATGGTGAGGACATATCATGTCTAACCCACAGGAACCTCAGTGGCCCGCTTGACACCTCCTTGCTCTCAAATGATCAAGCCTAGGAGGGAAAAGGCAGGATCCAGGCCTTTTCTGTCCCCTCAGACTCTCCACCCTGGGCACATGTGGGCATCCTCATACTAGAAGGCTGTAGTCATTAAAGACCCATTCTTCACACATAGTGGCTATTTTATTGAGTGGATCTTAGGCTTTGGGGAGAAATTTCTAGACTGAAGTCAGCACTGAACAGTCTTAATGGAAACATCATCCTGAAGCGCTGACGTCACCCAAACACACTATCTCCATCTTGCACAGGACACCACCACATTGCTACAGTGACAGCAGGAACAGAGACGAAGAAGCCAGTGTCTAAAAGGGTGTGGTGGGAGAAAATAGGATAAAAGAGGGGATAACTGAGCTGGCTATTGAATACTGCACAGTAGTTAGCAGGATAAGAAAACAAAAATATTCACAAAGGCATCCAAATTTGGGCTGTGCCATCTGTAGTCCAGGATCAGGTACTCCAGGTAAGAAAGACCATTGTGGGTATCTTGGGAGCCTGTGTCATTTTTCCAGGGTGTTGGTCATTGTTCTTGCGGCTTGAGGGAGTGATTTGATAAGGGGGGAACTTCGGAAACATCTCCACTGTAGAAAAGAGGTTGCATGAGGGCCACGGGGGAGGCGCCTTCAGAGCACAAGAGGCCAGGACTAGAGATGGAGGACAGCAGGGAGATTGGAGAAAGACTTGGGGTTCAGAGAGTGTTCACTGGCGTGGGGGATGATTTTCTTACCCACCAGCCTCCCACCCTGTCTTAACAGAGATGCTGACAGTCCTGAGATCACTCACACACACACACACACACACACACACACACACACACGCACGCACGCACGCACGCACGCACGCACGCACGCACACACACACAGCCGTCCTGGGCTCCAGTGGAGGAAGTTGAGGCTGGGAACTGGTCTTTCTCCCAGGTCTATCTTCCTGGCATGGTGTGAACTGGCCGACACTCTGAGTGTCCTCTGGAGGATGGTGAGGTCCATGCTAAAGGCTCCTGTCTGTGTCTTCTATTGCGTGAATGCCATCTGAGGCTCCTCCCCTGGCAGGCTGGCCACCAGGCTCAAATGCCCACCTGCATTCTTCATCTCCCTGCATGTGGTTGCCACTTCTGCAGACTCATGAAGACCCCCCCATGAGGGCCCTTAAGGTGGGCAGGGACACTGGAATGTGGTTGCTCCTCAAGGACCCCTCTAGTCATGACCTTGATACTCTGGCTTGACCTGGTGAGATAGGGTCCCCTTGGCAGAAAGGAACAGGGGAGCCCTTGTGTGAAGGAACCGGTTCAAAGTCATCTTAGTGGAAAGTTTGTCTCCTACCACATCCTTCAGCTGTTTACCGGGTGGCAGGGGCCTGGCATCCTGACATGAAAAGAGGCTCACCCCGCACCATCATGGAGGAAAGACCAAAATAGCATCTAGGGGAGGGGGACAGAGAAAAAGAGAATGTCAGGGGCAAGGTACATCCCTTGGTGAGTCCTCACCCCAGGGCTAAGTTTCCTGGCCTCACCTGTCTTCACTGAGAACTATGAAGCCCAGAAAAGTCTTCAAAGTAGGTCAAGGCCACCTGGGTGGGGCTGTGGGGCCTGATTCAGTTCACAAGCTATTGCCAAGGGTAGAAAAGATGTGTGGGAAGACAGTGACTGGAGTACCAGAGAGGATCAGGAGGTAGGTCTTCTTGGTAAGGACTATGGGTGACCCAGAAGAGCCCAACTATTCTGGCTGCTAGTGGATGTCCTCCATCCAACAAAGGCCCACCTGACCCCCAGCAACCTGCCAAGTCTAAGGAGGGAGGGGACTCTGCCTCAGCCTCATTTGCCTCTTAGAGGTCACCAGCTTCCAAGTAAACCTCCTGCCTCTGACACTGCTCTCCACAGCACCAGCTTTCCTGTACCGTGTCATAAGCAGAGGTGAGAAAAGCGAACCAAACACACCGCACTCCTCCCAAGACCTGGGCTTCAGTACACTGAGCTGCAGCTAAGCACCAACCCTGCTAAGCATTCTCCCTTACTAGGTGCAACAATCATTCCCTGGATTCCATCTCTCCCCTGACCTCCATCCTCCCCCACCTCCATCCCTCCCCTGAGCTCTGCCCAGGCCCCGGCTTCCATCCTTCCCCTTGGCTTTCCTCTGGCCTCCAATTATGTAGTCGCTGTACTTCTGAGGATGAGAGCCTAAAATATTCATATCATAGTGATTCCCAATCCTTACTGCTAGGTTATGACACAGTGACCCCCTTTGTGATACGACCTTAATGGTAACCATTACTCCCTCAAACCAGCCTCTGCCTAGCATCCTGACTTCTTAAACTTGGCTCTGTGCTCCCTTCCCTGACCCTCATTCATCCCAACTTCTCTGCAGCTTGAAGCAGCAGGAAGGGCCAGTTACAGACAGAGCCCTGCCCACTGCAAGACTATTCACTAAGAGCAGGCCAAACCTCTTAGGGCCTAGAGCCAACCACACACACACACACACACACACACACACACACACACACACACACTGCACAGTGGGGACAGTCACTGCAGAGCCACAGCAGACAGGCCGTGTTAATAGGAGCTGCCAAGGCTCTGGCAGTAGGGAGCTCTTCCTGGGAACTGTCTGTCCCTACTCAGCTCCCTCTGCTTGTCTGAAAAGACTGATGCCACAGCTGACTTGGTTAAGCCCATCTTAACCCAACATCCATCTGGAAGCACATCTCTGCACCCCAGAGCACCTAGGGGAGAACCTAGTACCCTACTCTGTCCCCTAGAGTGAGCTCCCTGTTCTTAGTCTGGGACATCCTTAGTGTCAGCACTTTGTCCCACTGCCAACAACCCCAGTGGGGCGAGAATGCAGAGCAGAATACCATTGATTCAAAGTGTTTCATCAACCCATTTTTCCTGTGAGCCTTCAAGATTCTATCTGTGGACTGCTTGCACCTCTGGTCCCCTTACTAGATTTTCCTTAAATGAATTCCTTTTGTAGAAAATAAAACAAAAAATCAATTTATTCTCAAGAGGATCTTTGACATTTTACGAAGCATCTGACATATACTTTTCCAAAGACAAAATACAAGACCCGAGAGCAGCTTCCTGCCAGAGGAGCTGGAGAGGGGCAGCCTCGGAACTCGGGTTTCCTTGCTAGGAAGGCAACAGTAGGCAGGCACAAACAGGTCAAATAACAGGATGCAATCAGGGTCAAGTCTCAGGCTGTGAATGTATACTGAAGTCTGTAAAGAAATATTCTTGCTCTTAAGAAAAACACCAGTCATCCCAACACCCAGGAGGCTGAAGCAGGGGGGTGAGAGACTCGAGATCATCCATAACTACAAGCAAGTTCAAGAGCAGCCTGGGTGACAGGAGGCCCTGTCTCAAAGACAGACAAGCAAGCAAGCACACAGGGCACTGCCTTTTCACTAGAGTCCTGTCCCGCGGCTGTGGCGTTCTAGAATGCTCAGCGGTACTGTTAGCGCCAGTTCCAGGCGAAGTCCTGGCACCTAGAAGACAGCGACCATGTCCTCGGAAAGGCATCCTGGAGCTGTGTCACACACACTTCTGGAGTCCCAGAAGTTCAGGGTGTGACCTGAGGGCTAGCAGGTATCCCAGGAGTGGATGCAGAGTGGGAGCAGCTGAGGGCTGGGGGGGGGGAGCCATCAGAGCCAGGAGACAAGAGAGCAGCCCCCCCCCCGCTCCCTCCTGCCTCCAGCACAGCTTCCTCTCCATCTGTCTCTGGCCATAGTTCCTTTTAAAACACTTTTTAAAAATAATTATTTTTAGACTTTCGTAGATGATACAGAAAATTTCCCTATACCCTGAGCCACTTGCATAAGCAACATGAATTAATAGCAGTTAAAAGAATTAATAGCAGTCAGGCATGGTGGTGGAAGCCTATAACCCCAGCACTTGAGACCTGAGGAGGGGGTTGGAGAATTTAAGATCAACAGTAAATCTGGCTGATCCCTTCACCAAGAGTCTTGGTCAAAGACCAAGAGACGACAGCCATCTCCAGCCCATGTGAGCAGCACACAGTAGGACACCATGGCAGAGATTGATGACCTCGTGTGCCTGCCTGAGCTGCCTTCATCAGCTTTCTCCACTGTGAAGCTATGGTTTCCCAGTCCTGTTTGCCTGGAACGTTCTAGAAGGAACTAGCTGTTCACAGCGCACAGTGGGGACTCTGTTCCCTTCCTCTGTACGGGCAGAGCTTCTGCACAGAGGCTCAGAATATTTCCCTTTCGGTGTTTTGGACAGTTTTTCACACTATGCACGTTTCTTTGAATGCTCGCTGCTCAGGCCCCACAAAATGCTTCTGGCTCCCAAAGGGAAGGGGATTTGAACAAGTGCTTCAATTGTGTGAACCTGGAAGCCGTCACGATAGGAGAAGTGGACAATACAGGAAAAAGGCAAATGCCTCAGGGACCTAAAGATAACTAACAGCAGAGAGAGTGTCTAGGGGCAGATGCCACGGCTGGTGGCGTGGAGGGAATCGCAGGGTGTGTGGGGCGAGTTGGTTAACAGACATGGTTTCAGTTCTCCAGCTGACGAGACGCAGTGCTGGTTGCAGGTAATTGCAAACATATTTAATACCACTGAATTACACACTTAGCAAGGCTTGAGACTGGGCCGTGCGGTGGCTCCGTGAGTAGATGAACAAGCTGCCAAGACTCACTGCTGGAGCTGGATCCTCAGAATCCACATGGTTCTGGAAGGAGAGAACTGACTCTCACTAGCTGACTTCTGGCCTCTGGCCTCTGAACTCTGACCTCTGACCTCCACACACAACACAAAAAATAAGTGTTTAGAGAATTAATATTTAAGAAGTTAGATTTTGGCCAGGCCTGGTGGTTGTCTACCAGCAATTGGGACGCTGAGGTAGGGACAAACAGAAGTCTGAGGCCAGACTGTGAGGGGTCTCTGAAGGTGTCAGGCAGAAAAGCAAACCAGGAAAAGATGAGAAGGAAAACTCAGTTCAGATAGACCAGTTCATCATCGACCTGGATCAAGACTTCTAAAGAGCCTGATGTCAGGCAGTTGGTTCCCAATGTATTTAAGGCCCTTATAAATTGGGGAGGGGGATTTCCTGGTGTAATACAATCCTCAATGTGCAAGGAAGTATAATTATATTGAAACTCAACTCAGAGGTCATATCATGTCTTCCAAGAAGATGGGTTCTAGAGATAGGCTACCTGTACTAGCTTAAGGGCCTAAGGAAGAGTCTGGCCTGGTCTCAGTCGAACAGATAGCATAGAGGTCGTTGGGACTATTAGCCACCTCGAGTCCTGGTTGTGGGAGCTTGATATGGCCTGGCCAACAGGTAACAGATCACCATACTACTAATCACTTCCGATTTTCAGCTTTCTGGATGCAGGGTTTTCATCTTTTCCATTGGAAAGACAATCCTGTGTGCTCAACATTCCTGGTTTCTCTGGAGATCTGTGGGCACAAGGACCTCGATGCTATGCTCCCTAAAAAGCCTGGGCTACGTGAAACTGTTAAAAGAGTGGCAGGTTTTATATCACCTGTATTTTGCTACAACAGGACAATTGAAAGACATTCCGGCTTTAGAACCAGCCTCTTCTCCAGGGCAGCTGCTTCCTTTTGCTGAACAACTAAAAACATAGTCTGGGTGCTGGGAGATTGATGGTTACTAGGGCAGAATTGCCTAAGCCATGTCAACTGACCAATAAGTGTGTGTGTGTGTGTGTGTGTGTGTGTGTGTGTGTACATCCATGCACATGCATCAACTTAGGTGTATGCACAAATCCATACACACTTCCACATGTCTCCATCAGCAACTCCATAAAGACCATCCTACATGCACACCAATGCCCCAGGATAGTCCAGCACAACATGGTATGTATCACCTTAGCCTTCTCTTTCATTTGGAACCCTGCCCCATGCCAAGTGTGGGGAGCCTGACTCCTGCCACTGCCGTCCATTCACAAATCATTCCATCCTGTGTATCACTTTGTATTCTACTTCGATAGTTTCTTCATTCAGATTATAAAGTATCATTGGGCAGGGTGGTGCATACCTACAACCCCAACACTCATGAGGCTGAGGCAGGAAGACAATGAATTGGAGGGCTGCCTGAGCTATGTAGTGAGTGAGACCCTGTCTCGAAAGAAGAAAGAAAGAAAGAAAGAAAGAAAGAAAGAAAGAAAGAAAGAAAGAAAGAAAGAAAGAAAGAAAGAAAGAAATCAATGGACTTTTGAGAAGCAAAACCTGAGCTTGCCTATTAACTTGTTTATTCTTTCTGTCTCCGTTCCCAACATCTATCAGAATGTCTTTTACAAAACAACCTATTGTTTTATGAATATTTAAATTTTGCCTGGGTGAGTTGGGGTGCTAAGTTCCCAGCTGCTCCCAAGGTCAGGAGATCTTTGTGGAACACTAAGGACGTGGTCTTGGGGTCTGACTGGACTTAGGAGACTTTCCCATCACAGCAGAGTCCCCTGTGAAGGCAGGCAGAACAGCAGCTCTGTGGTGGCTGTGTCTGAGTTACCCACATCTGCAGATGAAAGGACATCTACACTACAGCCTGCCACCACCTTCCTAACTGTATTTGTAGAGCCCTGCTCTATAAGGACAGATGGAGACACAAAGGGGCTAATTCTGGTGGCTGGAGCAGTGGAGCATTCTCAGTGTTGCTGACCAAACTCAGTGAAAGCTGAGCATGAGCCAGCGACCAACTCACTCAGCGGAAAGCTCAGAAAATGCTCACACCCAGCCCTGAGGTACACTCATCATCCATCAGGAATGGGATGGGATGGAGAACCCAGGCTAGTCTCCATGTGGGACTGCCCAGGATCATCTGGTCCACATTACCTCCAAGGCATACATCCCACTGTGGGTACAGCCAGGGAAGCTCTTGGGTTAATTGTCTCTCTTTGTTCAAGAAGCATGTTTGTTTCTTCCTTTGACGTATGTTTCTATAAATAGGCTACCCTTCCACCTGAACATCTGTGTCCCACAAAGGTTTCTCAAAAGTTGCAGATGGGTGTCATGGCCATGCTTCATTCCTGCCCCAGCTTAAAACAAGAATCCAGTGTCACCATCACCCATCACCTTCCTGCCTCCTTCTTAGTTTGCTGATATCACCCTTGGGTGTCCTCCAGGCTATAGGTGCTCAGGCCTCACCAGAGCTGGGCACGACACCTCTGAACAGGAAGGTTCCTGAGTTCATCACTTTTTAATTAAACAAGATGAACCAATGAAAAGTTATTAGAGGTGAGCAGTATGGGAGTCACAAGTTACCAACCCAAAGGCAGAGAGAAATGAGAGAAGGAGACAGGAGTTCACTATTTAGCCAAGGCTACCCTCTAGCTCATGGTCTTCCAAACGTGGCCTACTACGTGCTGGAATGATGGGCCTGTGTCACCAAACCCAGCTGAGAAATGGTTTTTGTACTGTACTCTACAGAATGGAGGCCGCTTCTCTGTTCCCACATTCTTCACTTTTTTCATTCAGTTTGCAAATACGTAACCTGCTCATGCTCAAGAGCTCCCCATCCTTCCTATCCCTCGCTTGCTCCCTCATCTCACGTAACAACCCTCAGTGGCAGCCATGGCATTAGCCCCAAGAAGACCCAAATCCAGCCCAGACTATATCTGAGACCTCTTCCTCTACCACCATGTTAGCCTCGCTTCCGTGTCAGGCAACAAGGGTGGAGCAAGACTCTGCTACATCCATTCAAGGACATCTGATTGTCCTCCACAAGGACAGCACCCACACAAAAACCAGAAAGCAAAGCTTTATGTGTTGTGCAACAAGTTTATCGCCGCCACCATCTCAGCAGCCACCCCCTCCCCAGGATCTGGATCTGTAGGTGCAGTACACCTCCAGTCTGAGAGGCTTCCTTGGGGGTGGGGAGTTACAAAGGGACCTTTGGCAGCATCTATGCAGTCAAGGGGAGAGCACTCATTGGCACACAACCCAGGTGGTCCAGCCCTCACTTCCAGACATGACTGAAGGATGGAGCTGCCATCAGGACTTTATATCTATCTATGAGACCCAGATTCACCTCAGCGTCATCAGAAACCATTCCCAAAAATCCCAACAAAGAAGAACTCAGTGTTGTAAGGGCTGGCCCTCACACACATAACCCTCTCCTCTCACTAAAAGAGAGACTGAGGCCCAAGGATTGCTGGCAAAGCCCAGGACCTTGCCCAACTTTGGAGATGAGGTCACTGATGCTGAGAGATTCACACTACAGCTAAGACACAAGTCTACAGTACAGGCTTTCCCTTCTCTCAGGCCTCAAACTGGCCATCCAGAGGCCAGTCTGATCTACAGATGAACTTTGGGTTGCAATGCTGAGGACAAACCCATGGCCCCACCCATGCCAGACAAGCATAGCCTTTCCTTCACTTTAAAACTTTTTATGTTTTTGGAGACAGAGTCTCATTAAATTGCCCAGGTTGACCACAGAGTAGGTGACCACCACAGTCCTCAAGCCATGTGCCAGGGTGAGGCCGCCATGAGTATAGCATTCTTCCAGTTGGCTGTGTCTGGCCTTCCTTGAGGCGTCTATGGGTCCAGAAAGTTTGTAACCCAGGAAGGGGCTATGAAAGGCATCTTAGGGATACTGGTGGGTGCTTGTAAGTGAACAGATAGATTTACACAAACTTTTGTCTCTCCACCACAAACACTAAAGCTGACGGTTCCAGTATAGTTTCTTCACCAAAACGTCCACAGCCAACCACACTGCTTACTGAGCTGCCATTACCCCCAGGTCCTTCTTCATTAAGATGCTTGTCTTCTCAAGAGTCTTTTTAAAAGATGGCTTCTCCTGGAAGGTACCAGTCATGCATACCTGAGCATGAATTGCTTTCTTGGAGTTCTTAAATTCTTAGAGCTAAAACACAGCCCAGAGATCTCATTGTCCGAATGACGTACTTTTGCAGATTTAGCCACTGATCAAGAGCAAGGTCACATGACTAGTAAACACTTGGGATTTGATGGCTACACAGACACTGAGGCAGGCAGCCAGCCAATTCTGCCCTCAGACTATAAGAAGCCATCACTGAAGTCCACACAATAACACTTGTTCTAACTCAATTTATCTAGGACTCTAAAAACAAGAATTTGAATCACTTGGATGTGGTCATCGGTCTCCTTTTTCTCCACCTTATGGAACCAGAGAAGCTGCTGCTGGAGGACACACGGCCCTCGTCTCTGGCAATGACTGGCAGCACATAGGCCCGCCCTCACGTTGCAGGGATGTTTTCTACAATGTCTCATCTTGTCGAAGGTTTGCTGAAGCAGGATGTGATTCATAACTCACGTCCAATGACATATTTTCAAGACTGAAATTTTAAAAGAAAACTTACATCATTACTTTAAAATAAACTTAGTGGAATAGAACTCTGATACCCAGAAAACTTACATCATTTTTTAAAAATAAACTTAGTGAAATAGAACTCTGCTACCCACCCCTGTCCATTAGCATATCATCACACTCCCTGTCTCCTTAATCCACTCTTTTCTTGGAGTTATGTATCTTTCTTCCTTTTTAGGTTTTTGAAATGGAGGCAGTGTGGAAGGGTGAGCGCTGATAATGGTGCAAAACAGAAAACATCCTAAAGTTGGATGGGGAGATGGGTTGGTTGGGGTGTCATGGTCTCCATGAAACACTCTCTGGGGAGTTATAGACAGGGGTCCCAATTCACTCGCTTGAAGAGGGGACCCAGAACCACCATCATCAAGCTAAAACATGAGGTAAGCCAAGCAGACTGCATGTCAAGCGCTCACTCTCTCTGTCTCTGTCTCTTTGTCTCTCAGTCTCTGTCTGTCTGTCTGTCTCTCTCTCTCTCTCTCTCTCTCACACACACACACACACACACACACACACACACATACACACACACACAGTACCAGAATCAGCACACAACACTGGGGTCAGCATGGGCACAGAACCTGTGCAGACTGACTCACTTGACCCCCTACTTCCTGTTACATTTCTTTCTCTAAAATCATTTTAATTATGTAATTGACCCTACATGGGAAATTTTTTTAAAAAATCAGCTTGGCTGATATATAACTTACATCCAATAAAATGCATCCACTTTAAGCAGGCAGGGGCTAGGGAGGTGTTCAATGGTCATGAACACCTTCTGTTCTTCTAGAGGATCTCTGTGATGTTCCCAGCACTTTCATTGTGAGACTCACAGCCACATGGAAGTTCAGCTTCAGGGCATCCAACGTCCCCTTCTAGCCTGTAGAACATGAGATTTCATTTCTCTTGGGCAAATGCCCTCATTTGTTAGTGAAATACAGTGAATGTGTCTTCACTGTATAAGAAACGTGGGGGAGGGGGTGCGGGAGGAGGGGAGGGAGAGGGAACTGGGATTGACATGTAAAACAAGCTATTTAGAATTAAAATAAAAAATAATAATAATACTGAAAAAAAAGAAACCCCCAATCTGCTGGGCATTGGTCGCACACCTTTAATCCCAGGACTCGGTAGGCAGAAGCAGGCAGATCTCTGTGAGTACTGTGAGTACAGCCAGCCTGGTCTACAGAGCAAGTTCCAGGACAGCCTCCAAAACAATACAGAGAAACCCTTTCTCGGAAAAAGAAAGAAAGAAAGCAAGAAAAAAAAGAAAGAATGAATGAAAGAAAGGAAGGAAGGAAGGAAGGAAGGAAGGAAGGAAGGAAGGGGAAAGGAAAGGAAAGGAAAGGAAAGGAAAGGAAAGGAAAGGAAAGGAAAGGAAAGGAAAGGAAAGGAAAAAATCTTAGGGAGAACCTACTAGTACTTCTTGCTATATGGACATGCTGTCAAACCATCTTCTAACCAAATACTTAAGTTTTTACCCGTAGATGAGAGCTGTCCTCAAACCTGCCCAGAGAAGCTCTGCTCTGCAGTGGGCAGCAGCAAATGCAGAGACTCATAACTGGTTAAAGTGCTCACCCCAAACAGGACATAGATATCAAATCCCTCCCTTGAGATTGAGGGGACATTGCCAGAGAGTAACAGAAAGAATGCAAGAGCTGAGGGAACAGAGGAGAGCTGGGAAATGCTGTCTTCTGGACATGACGTGGCCATTGCACCCAAGAACTCACTGCGGCTGCAGCTACCGGCATAAGATCAGGCAACATTCCAACAGCATGTGAACAGGGGAGGGTGCCGGGAATCCCTGGGGAGAATGGGATGGGGGAGCTGTGGGTGGATGAGATCAAGACACATTGCACAGATGACGCTAAAAAAGAATTTTAAACATCAAAAGAAATAAGGCATGAAGAAAAAAGATTTACATGACAAATTCAGTTTTGTGATTACATTTTTCTGTATCAAAGGCAAATACATTTTTTGTTTGGTTGCATATGTATCTTTAAAAATATATTATTTTGTGTGATTAAAAAAGAAAAATAAAGCTGGGTGGTGGTGGCACGTACCTTTAATCCCAGCACTCGGGGGTCAGCCTAATCTATAAAACAAGTTCCAGGACAGCCAGGGTTACACAGAGAAAACCTGTCTGGAGAGAGAGGGAGGAAGGGATGGAAGGAGGGAGGAAAAGGGAGGAAAGGAGGGAGGAAGAGGGAGGGAGGAAGGGACGGAAAAGACAGGCTCAAAGCTTTCCCAGAGTGGGAGCACATTACAGAGCCAACCACTTGCTCAATGTGGGGTTTTTTTGGTTTTGCTTTTATTTGCAGCAATCACATGAGAATATCCAAAGTCTAGAAACGAGGTTAACCTGTGGGTCACGACCCCTTCACAGAGGTCACATATCAGATATCCTGCATAACAGATATTTACATTACAATTCACAACAGCAGCAAAATTACAGTTATGAAGTAGCAACAAACATAATTTCATGGGGACGGGGGGGGGGGTCACCACAACATGAGGAACTGTACTAAAGGGTGGCAGCGTTAGGAAGGTTGAGAACCACTGGGTTAAACAGTGATGGTTCGTTGTGCTATCGTCCCCCGTGACTCCCACGCACAAATGAACATTTGCAACCATTGCTTATAATTTAAAGCCACTTTACCTAAGAAAGTGTATAGAGGTTGAAGGAAGATACATTGAGCCTTGGGGTTGTAGGATATACACAGTGAGATCCTGTTTTTAAATACATATATATTCAAAATATTTAAATATATATGTTTAAAAACAGGGTCTCTCTGGAACTTGCTATGTAGACCAGACTTGCTTCAAGCTCACAGAGATCTGCTTATCTCTACCTCCTGATGACTGGCTTTAAAATCATGCACCACCACACCTGGCTATTAAAAAACTACTATTTTTTGTTACATAAAAAAATTAAGGTAATGAAAAGAATCCCATTAGGGCTCCAGATCTTTGTCTTCCTGCATTTCTTGCCAGGTGTTTGTGTGCTTAACGAGATGCAATTCACTTTTTAATGGTACATAGTGGCTTCCTAAAATACCCTCCTCATTTGCAGGCACAGGAACTGTCACAGCAAAATTTTAAAATTAAGTAGGAAACCTAAGTGGGCTGGGATGTAGCTCAAAGGTTGGATGCTGCTGCCGAGCATGCCTGAAGCCTGGGTCCCACCCCCAGCACCACATAATCAGGCATGGTAGTACATGCTGTAAATCTAGAACTTCGGTGGTGGAGGCAGGAGGATCAAGGAGTGCAAAGTCATCCTTGGTTGCATAGCAACTTTGAGACCAACCTAGGCTACTTAAGAACTTGTCTTGAAAAACCAAATATAAAATGAAAAAGTGGTAAAAAGCAGAAATAAGATGTTCCTTCCCAAAACTAATAATCCATGATTCAATCTTCCAAAATACCTCATATGCATTCAGTCCTTCAAGTTGGTACATGCTGCAATGTGACACTTGACAAACATTTAAAGCTTTTACACATTTGTTAACAAAGTATCATCATTTATTTTATGGGGGTATTGGGTGTGCATGGGCCCTGGTGCACGTTTGGAGGTCAGATCGAAGCTGGTTCTCTCCTCCCTCCATTGGTCCTGCCTCTGCTTCCAAATGACATTTAGTTAAATTAACTGTATTAATCACAGGAATTGAAGAAATTGCTACTATGCTGGCTATTCTAAAATTTTGAGGTAATTTCAGAGGGAAAATATTTCTTACCGTTGAGTAAATTCCTAGGGTGGTAGATATGTATGTGTGTGTGTGTATATATGTGTGTGTGTGTGCTTATTGGATGTTTTTAATCTTTTCTTTTGTAAACTGCATATGCTTTCATCTGCCCCTGAGGCTCTTATCTTTTAAACATGCATGTGCTTTTGAATCCCCAACATTTACAGCAGTGCCCCCGCCCCTCAGCACTCAGCAGAGGTTAAAAGAACGAGTGCAGATGAGGTACTGATCCTTTCTCCTATTGTTCTTTCTTATCAGACAACTTAAATTTTTGCTCATATTGCTCTGTGGTTTACAGAATCTTAATATCTATCTCTATTTTTCCTTTGGAGCTCGCCTCACTATTCACCCTTAAATCAGATAAACACCATCTGTATGACCAGAGTCCCGAAGATGGAGCCCAGAGCCTCATGCATGCCAGGCAAGCTCCCAGGCCGCTTGTTTCACCCCAGCCTCAACACTGAAACCTAACACCTGGAGTGGAAGTTCCTTTCAACCACTCCTAGTTTTTAAGAGTGTCTTACAGCCAGGGAGGATAATACACGCCTGTAATCCCAGGACTCAGGCTGGAGGGTCCTGATTTTAAGGCTATCTTAGGCTACATAGTTATACCAACTCAATAAAAAAGAATTGTTGGTAAATTTTACCCACGTACCCGTTGGTTAACTTTGAATTATTTAACTGTGTCATCGGCACCACCATTCTGGTCTGTTAGGGAAGGCTGCTTTGGAGCTGTGAGTCTTGAGGTCCAGCATCCAGGTGGCTTCATCCACCCCACACCTCCGCTCTGGTCCCTGGGTTTTTACTGGAGTGATGCAGGCTTTGAAGTTCACAGTCTCCAACACTTATACCCTGTAAACAGCCTTTGAGAGTCAAACTGACAAGCTCAAAGATGGCTGATTCACTAGAGGAGGGTTCTTGTCTCTTTTAATATCTATTTATTTAGTCTCCGTGTGTGTGCGCTGTACGCACCCGCACGCTCACCTAAGTGTGTATCTGTGCACCACATGTATCCAGGAGTCTCTGGGGGTCAGAACGCGCACCAGAACCTCTGGAACTGGAGTTGCAGACAGTTGTGGGTGCTGGGAATTGAATCGGAGTCCTCTACAAGAGCAGCCAGCACTTTTTAACTGCTGAGCCACCTCAGGCTAACCTCAAATTCAATTATGTACTTGAAGACAACCTTGATCTTCTGAGCCTCCTGGCTCCACCTCCTGAGTGCTGGGATTACAAACATGTGTCACCACACTTGTCTTTTGAGGTGCTGGGTTCCAGGGCTTCATGCATGCTAGGCAAATAGTTCACCAACTAAGCTACACTCCAGCCCAGTTAAGTAAAGGTGTTTTTTTTAAAAAATCAGCCCCCTAGTTAATGAACTTGGGTAACAAGGCACTCTTGCATGCCGGCAGTTGGAAGGTAAGGTGAAAGATTGCTGTTTGAAGTGCCTGGGACACGTATACTGAGGGTTTTTTAATTTGAGCTCATATTGCTTTGTGATTTCAAAGTTCCGTTTCTATTTTTCCTCAGGATCTGGCTTGACACTGTGTGGTTTCACTAGGAGAATGACATTTAGAAACTGCTAAGACACCAGTTTTCTAGCATCTATAAACCATCCAGTACACTCTGGTGTGGAGAGCAGAGAGATTTTAGACAGCTTAAAAATGATATTCTTTAAAAACTCGGCAGGGTAGACAGTAGAACTGTGTGGGATCCTTTCTTACTAATTTTTAAGGGTACAAAATGTAGGTCTGCTTTTCCAATTTTTAAGAATACTTTTCCAAGTTTTAGACCATGAACATGTCTCCTTGATACCTATTTTGCTCTTTTGCCTGTTTGCTTGTTTATTTGGGAGACATTTTTCACTATGTAGTCCAATCTAGCCTCAAACCTGCAGTCATTCTTGCATCTACTTGAAGAATGCTGGGATTGTAGATTTAAGTCACCACATCCAGCCTTCCTTGATTATTTTTTGTAACCTAACTTACATGAGCCAATTAACATTTTTAAAACGGGAATTTAGGGACTGGAGAGATAGCACAGTGGTTAAGAGCACCGATGATCTTCCAGAGGAGCAAGTTTGAGTCCCAGTACCCATGCAGCACCTCCCAAACGTCTGTTCTTCCAGTTCCAGGGCATTTCA